GGGCATTAAGTGAATTTGAGTAAGTGTACACAGCTGTGAACCAACTGCCACAAGCTATGACACATCGCAGATCAAAGAAATCTGACGAGTTTGTTTCATACAGTTGAAACCAGACCGCTCGCCCTATGATACTGGAAGTGGATGGACACTAGTGGACCAGATTACCAGTTAATCTTACAGATATTGTCCAAACTGGAAACTTTGACTCGGAGTTCTAGTTATGGAAAATATTTTTAAGAATTTTCAAAGATACGTGTTAAGGTCCCCCTAACAACAATCTGTATAAACATCATGAGGAGAAGAAAGCGGGGGCGTCGGCGGGGGGGGGAGTGGTTGAATACGCTCTTGTTTTTCCATTCCATGTGACTTCATACTCTTGAATGAATTACACCATTTGAGAATTCATTGGTTAGCTAAATTTTAGACACATTTCAATTATCAAAACAAAATGCTCAGATCTAATATCTGCAAATTTGCATAGGATAAAAAAAGAAAAGTATATCCAGAGAACCATTCAATTCGGATGATGCTGGACGGAATCCATGGAACTCAGGGGTATGGTTTCTGGCTTCCGACTCCGTGAGGCAGATTGATTTATAATTGCCATACACGGCTATGTGTCCTCAAACACGGGCAACTCATCAGTCTAGTATGTCTTGCTTCACAGGACCTGGTACAAGCACACTGGACATGAATAAAAAAAACTACTACCGGGAATCGGTCTAGCAACTCATGCTCACATTCTCACTCGCAGATCCCCATTGTGTCCAGTTTTGATCAGTACAAAACGATGCACAAACAATCGTTTTTTCATGAACAATTGTTTCATTTAGAAGATTTGTTTTTCGACAGAACAAAAAAAGTAGCAACAACAGGAGTGCCTAATTCGAATAATGTAGTCAATTTGGAACATGTCATTCTCAAAGAACAATTCCAAGCCCGTAATTAACTTATTTTTTTGTAGAGAAGACTAGTAACAAACGTTGGCCAAACAAAAAAGAAACAAATTCGTCTATCAGAGAAATGTTGATATTCGGGTTTGTAGTTGTTCTCGACCGGGCGGAGTGTCGGATGCAGCTGCTTGGCAATGATTGCAATGAATTCCCAGCTCGTTTTTGCACTGGTTTCTAAGTTCCGTTGAACTTGGACGTGCTACACGAATTATCCAATTTGGCCCTTTCAGATTTTAATCAAACTTGGGAGACTCTCGCTTTTTTGCTCTCAGTGTCATCGATAGTCATGGATGAAGAGTATTTATTCCGTTCTAATATTCTTAATTTTCTGTATATTCTCTGAATTGATGCAACCTTGAATGGCACGAAAACCATTTGTAGTAGTTCGGAAGTTATCAGGAGCTTTGTCATTCCCTTTAATAAATGGTTACTGGTTCATGAGAATGTTTACTCCGGTCTTCTAAACTGCATATATTTTTCCTCTGATACAGAGTAAATATAAAACAATCAGAAAACTATGCTACTGCAAAATAATACCGTAGAATCTCCCGTTATGAAGGCCAAAAGATATATGTTCCAGGAAACTACCAATTTGACTTTCAAAAGTCACCCTTGAGGTGTGCGGCCAACGGAACAGATGTTTTATTACCTCATCATGCCCAAACCCGATAATCTGCGCTTTTCCAAGATAATACATCTTTTCATGTTCCACACGAGGTTTGTCGCAAAAGATTTTAGGATATCTTTTAATTTTGTTCTCTCACACCCAGACTGTTTCTTGATTGGAAAGTTCCGAAATAGAATTCAAAGCTTTAACGTTTAATTGTTCGAATTTGGAGGTAATAAAAAAAACTCCTTTTTCAGCAAAAACCTTTTTGTCCTCATCTGAGTAGGAGAGAAAAAGGGAAAGGAGTCAAGCCGTTCGAGAGTGGTCTTTACAGCTCAGTCTGTGGGATGCACTGCAGCGCGTGATCTGATTGCCTCAGTGATGGGCTGACTGCTCCAAGTGTTCAAGAATAAAACTGAGCACAAGTTTTGGAGAAGGCAGAGTGCAATCAAACTACAATACTTGTGTCATGTCTATCAGTCAGGTTCCCAAATATGTTCTTACGATTTCTTCCATTTATGTTCCATAATCTTCCAATGGATGCGGCACCAATCATCATCGAAGTGGAAATATCGTACTTCTACAAGGCATTCTTCCAATAGATGCAACCACACAAGCAGATACTTTTGCAGATATGTGGTCTGATGTGTGGTAATACCGAATTAATTCCCAAAATTGAAACGCAAACCGTTAGGCAGCGAGAGAAGGAAACCCGTTGGAAGTCACAGTTTCCCCCAAGTTCAATCCAGAGCCGTATTTTATCTGTCCAAAATGAGGTGAACACAGAAACATGCTGCGTTTCTGTTAGCCTTTGAAATACACGAGGCATCAGCAATTGTGCGACTGACCACTACTGAAGCAATCACATCGAAACATATGTCCCGCGAAAGACTTTTGTCGGATAGTCACCTCAGTTGCGTCAATGTCTAACTAGCGAACGGGATTGTCTCGCGGATCACGAGCGCANAGCGCAAGATCATAGGGGACATAGTGGCAACTCAAGTATTCATCTCACAGAGACAACAGTATGCAAGCGGATTCTTCAAACAGGTTAGAAGATGATGCTTTTGAAGGCCAAGGAGGTGTAAATCCTATGTCTCACAGCACATATATAAGAAGTATAACAGAAAATAGCGTTATTGGTTGCTTGTTTCACGTGACCAGAAGGGACTAAGCTGAGATTTTTTCAGCCATTTATCCTTTCCCCTAGTTCAAGGAGCAGATGAATCAACACGCAAGTGGTCAAACTATGGTCGAACAACGGACTAAATGAGCTGTCAAAATGTAAAATTCATCTCCTTATCCGTGCCATGTTTAAGACAAACTATGCAAAATTGATGTTGAGGATACGATGAGGATAATTGATCAAAGTCATCGAGTGAATATTTACACAAATAATCGGACAGAACCAGACCCACCAACACTCTACAGGTCCCGATGAGCTCATCTTGATTACTGATGAAACACGTGTTTGTAGCTTGCTAAAAAAAATGCAAATAAATCATGTCACGTGTTGTGGGAGTTAGAAAACAAATCTTATTCCCAAAACTGGACTTATTTTTTCATAATAAGGCTTATAAATTTCTCAGTTCCGCGAATGGTATCTGAATGGACTGTTCCAATCAAGATTTGAATGCACCAGTTCATTGAAACACTTTCGTCCTCAAAAGCCAGTTGGTCCCCAAAGACACTTTCAAAGCTAATCTATTTCAGAGAACGTCTGATGAAAATAAACGATGCGGGCGTCAAAATTTTCACCTAGGAAATAAACTAATGGACAGTGAAATTTATATTCAAGTCGAACAGTAAACAGAATGGCCATCGAAATAAGCTTGAGCTGACGATTCTGATCAGCTCCAATTGAAGCTAGTGAGCATAGTGGTAATTCTCTCTCACACACACACACGTATACATATTCTATGCGACGGGTCCCGAGTTCAAGGTCCGGGTAGGACGACAAATACGTATTACTGATGAGCTCCAATGAGAATTAAACTCATGTCTGGTGCTTCCAGAGCGTATGATTGGCAGGGTGAACTGAGGATTGTATGAGAAAATGAAGTCTGAAGAATTATCACTCTGAATGCAATTTATTTCTCCAACAAGTCGGTTGACATGGCTTCCCTGGATCAGTCTAATTAAGCTCAACTGCCCAAAGAACTGTGATAATGTTATTTCTGTTCTGGGTTTCGTTGTCAAATCATAAATTTCACAGAATCCTCATTTCTCTGGGACATTGTTTGGTGTTTGTACGGTAAAATGGATTGTTCCATACTGGATATTGTCCAAATGACTATCAGCTATAAGGTCAAGTGAGTCATTGTTGACGAACTGTAGCTCGGTTCACGAACCGCGCAATATATGCTTACTGTTTACGAGTACTAGAATGCACAAATATACTAAGTGTTGTGCTCCCTGACATGTCCATCAAATCCAGTTNTTTTGATGGTCCTTTGTCGGTCTGAATGAATCCTTGATCCTTGATGGGACTTGTCGAAAATCTGTGTCTCTTTGGATTTGTTTTACAGCCACAATCGTACACCCAAATTCTTCTATCCGTGCGATTCCGGAAGATGTGATGATCGATCCGATTCACATTATCAAAACATTATCACATTGTGATGTATAAGACCGGAACGGAATGATATGATTTCGCCTATGGTCATCTAATCAATGTTATCGGCAGAAAAACTGTCCATTGTCCTAAACTGAATCCTACTCCTCCCACCGAGTTTTCGCCAAGCGATGCGAACTCCATCCATTAGCCGTATGCTTGTATTAAGATTCATACTCCTTCCAGACACCTAGTTGGTCAAACCCAATTTTTGGATTGGAACCAATCCTTTTACGTGAAGAATTGCTTTGTCAGATACAGTATCAATGATTAAGTACAGATTAGTCACGGGATGGCATGCATAATTGGTCATCGTTAGTTTGTTCGACAATGAGGCCGCCAGGAATGAGATTCCGAATCCAGACAATCGACGATTTAGTCCCGTGAAAAAGAAACAACTGGTATCGATGCTCATGTTACGAGGCGCTGTTGCACAATTTAGTGGTGATATCCATATGTGCTAAGTTACACGTCTTCGATTAATGGATTCTTTAATATCAAAATCTTCAGGAACTAATAGATGTTTTTTTTGTGATATTGTAGTAATCAGAGCAGTCCCAACCTCATTGTTGTTGAACTCTGTTTGTGGAACTTGTGGGTTAGTCGATAAATTTAAATCGTTTTTAGTCTAAATGGGCTCCAACGGCAGCAGCTATAACCAATATCTCGTATTGACAGTTCATCAACCCCTATTGCATTCATATGATTGAGCAAATTGAATTTGTTCTAGCTAGGGTTTCTTGGACAATACAGTCGACCGCGAATAATTAACTGAAGGTCCTCAGCGGATCCTATCAATGAGAACTAAAAATTTTAGGATATAAACTTAAAAAAGAATCGCCCCAGAACTTACTTGAAAACTGTATCTTTTGCTGGAAAATTCCGGTGGGTTATCGTTCAGATCCACAACATGCACAGTCAACAATTCCGTGTTGGACTGACTCGGCTGTCCGTGATCTCGACAACGCAGAGTGACACGCAATTCGGGCTGACGTTCTCGATCCACCGGCCGAGTGGAACTCAACTGGTACACACTCAATTTGCCCAGATTTTTCACATACGTCAGCTGCAATTCGTCCGATTTGCCCAGTACACAAGTGAATTTCCCATTCTCATCCGTGTCCGGATCGTGCACAGTGATTGTGGCTATCAGTTTTCCCTCGGGTGCATTTTCCACCAACCGCAGCGGGGATTTTCTTTCCGAAACCGGTTGCAGATCAAATTCCGGGTCAGTGGAACCCGAACTTGCGTGACCAGTACTGTCCGGACCGGTTGGAGTACTGGGGGGAACAGCTGATGTGATTGTGATGATCGGAGCGTTGTCGTTTTTGTCCTGCACGTTAATAATCACCCGAGCTGTGGCTGTCAGTGGAGGTGCACCGTGATCCTGAGCAATCACAACAAACTGGTATTGTGTCAAACCTCCCGTATCACAGTCCAACGCATTACGTACAGTGAATATCCCGGTGTCTGGATCAATGTGAAAATCTCGTTTCACTGTGTCCGGCGTGGACAATGCGAATGCATAGGAAACACGGCCGAAATCTCCCTCATCCTCGTCTGTGGCAACCGGATGTTGAGCTAGTTTCGTACCCACTGGAATGTCCTCATCCACAGTGATCACAAACGGTTTCAATTCGTCGGAAATTACAGACTGATTTCCCGGTCCGCGTAAATGTTTGAAAATTGGTTTGTTATCATTCTCATCAGTCACGTGAACGGTTAACTGGGCCAGACCTTGATTCCCTCCGCCGTCTATAGCGGCCACAGTCAAATGATAGGTCGACTGAGTTTCTCGATCCAGGGGACCTTTCACGACTAGACGATACAGGGCTCGATTATGTACATTGGTGCTGGATATGTCAAACGGTACACGTAACACATTCATTCCAGCCGGTTTAACTAGTTCGTAACGCACGATAGAATTCTCACCAATGTCTGGATCGCTTGCCAACGGGAGATCGACCATTGTTCCCGGGGCACAATTCTCACTCACTGAAATGTGCAGTTGGGTTGAACCATCCTGAGGTCTGGTGGATTGCCAACGAGGCACGTTGTCGTTCGTGTCTCGCACAACCACGCGCAGACTGAGCAATCGACCATCACTGACAAAAATCACCCCCGACCAGGAACAGACTTCTGGCCAACCGCTTTCGGTGCACAGCTTTCGATCGGCATCACGATCCAGGGGATTTCGCACGATTAAACGGCTCGGATCGGACGGATCAAAATTGAAGTAGGAGGTGTCCTGTAAAGTGAATGTCAACGCGGATCCACTGTCGGCGGTTGCCGAATGCGGTGCATCTTTCAACTGAATTCGACCGACCTCGTGCCCGATCGGGGCATTCTCGTCGATCACAAATGTGACAATGGTAGCACTGTTCACGGATGAGACGGCTGTGGCACGTGTGACCGGACAGTACACAAACAATAGCAGTAGTAGTGTGAGTAAAAATCCAATCCAGCTGGAAGCACCATGATATGATGATGATAAGCAGAGGGAAAGAGGGGGTCTGGATTTGAACACGGAACAAATCGGTTTATCCATCGACAGAGAGCTGATCCTGCTATGCTGCCACCTAGGATGTGGATGATGATCCAGTCATCTTTCTGTGGTCAACTGTCCAGACACTACGAGAATGTGATGTGTTTTGGCGTACGGAACACGAGCGTGTTGGAGTCATATGTCATTGCCACAAGTGAACGCGGATTGTGTGTGTGTGTGTTGCGCGTGAGCCAGAGTACTCGCGTATGACGGCTAAAATACAGTA